TTCGCACCCTTTACGCTGGAGAAGCCTAGAGTATGTTTCCTTTACTTCCCATGAATCTTGTTGGATTTACGTGTGCTTGAGATTGGGGAATTCGAGGGTCGATTCTTGTGTGCAGCTTGACTAAGTTTCTGTGATCATTGGAGGATGGATAGTGTCTGCTACCGCTCGCAAACATTCCTATAATTGAATATACCCTGGAATTCCTTGCCAATGCCGGCGTCGAAGAGGTGTTTCTCTACGGGGGCGCTCACGCAGATCAGGTGGAAATATATGTCAAGTACGTCGAGTTAACAAATAGATTGCAATCCCGCGATTCCATGTCTTCTACTGGTCCTAACTTCAATCAATGGTTGCTATTTTAGTGCCTCAAAATGGAAATCACCGTCCTCCCTGTTCAAAAGCTTCATCTTCCTGAAATCGACTTCTACTTCTGTTGGCGATGTGATGCGTGATCTGGATGGCAAACATTTAATAACTCGCGACTTCATCATTGTCAGCGGTGATGTGGTCAGCAATTACGCCATTGAGGAGGCATTGGCAAAGCACCGCGAGCGGCGACAGACAGACAAAAACGCCATTATGACCATGATTCTACGAGAAACGAATGTTTCGCACAGGTCGAACCCGTCCATAGCCCCGGTCTTTTTTATTGACCCTACCAAGGACCGCTGTTTACATTATGAAGAGATAGAAAGTCGCCCACGTAGAAGGTCTAACTCGTCTTCTCATCCCAGATCGTCTAATTATCTCTCTGTCGACCCGGATATGCTGAAGGAGTTTTCGGAAATTGATATCCGGAGTGACCTGGTCGACACTTACATCGATATCTGCACTCCGGATGTCCTAAGTCTGTGGTCGGATAGCTTTGATTACCAGACGCCCCGAAAACAGTTTCTCTACGGCGTGCTCAAGGATTACGAACTGAGTGGCAAAACTATACATACCCATATTATCAAGGATCATTACGCGGCAAGAGTGCGGAACCTTAAGACATATGACTCCATTTCCAAAGATATTGTGTCGAGATATACATATCCGCTCTGTCTGGAAACAAATTTAGTCCCGGGCAATACCTACAGCCTGAAACGGCGCAATATTTATGAGGAACAAGGAGTCAGGTATGCACCGTCATGCGATATTGGCCCGAAAACAGTCATCGGCCGAGGTACGATTCTCGGGGATCACACGGCTGTTACAAACACTGTCATCGGACGACGATGCCGCATTGGCAAGAATGTGGTTCTCGAGGGTGCGTATCTCTGGGACGACGTGGTTGTTGGGGATGGGACGGAGATCCACCACGCCATTGTGGCCAATAATGTGGTGGTTGCGGATAATTGCAGAATCGAGAATGGCGCGCTACTTTCATATGGAGTAAAAATCGCAAATGGCACCACGATTCATGAAGGGATGAAAATTACCCGAGCCGAGCGGGAACAAGGATTTGTCCCAAGCGATCCCAAAATTGTTGGAGAGGGCGGAATCGGATACGAATTCTCTCGCGAGGAAGACGAGGATGACGAGAGCGATGATGAAAGCGTTGCATCCTCTGGATTATGTACGTTTTTTTTTCCCTCCTTTTCTTCTCAGCCCCATCTAAATGATATGAGAGTCACACGATCTGTATACTTACCACACCAACCCAGTATACAACATATCCGGCCTCTCCCTCTCCACCGATTCAATCTCCACCCTCTCCTCCGAGCTATCGGACGATGACTTTCCCCCGCTCCATCGGGTCGACAGCCTCGGCCCGTCCCTCGACGACGATGCCGACCGCTCCCACTTCCACCACGATGCCGTCAACAGCGTCTACGACGGACTCTGCGATGGCCTCAGCGCAGACGTCGTGCAGCTCGAACTGGTCGGACTGCGCATGAGCGCCAACGCGTCCGAGCACCAAGTGCGCCACGCCGTCGTGACCGCCTTCATCAAACGCATCCAAGGCCTCATGGACGCGCCATCGCCGCTCAGCGCCAGCGACGCTGTCAAGCAGGTCCTCGGAAAGTACAAGGACATACTCGACCGGATTGTGTTTGACCGCGACGAGCCGGCGCGGAAGCCGGATCAGGTTGATTTACTGTTGTTGATCCAGCAGGAGTTGGTGGAGAAGAGCCGCGGGGAGACTGTTTTGTTGTTTATGGCTAAGGAGCTGTATGATTTGGAGACGGTAGAGGAGGAGGCGTTTGAGCAGTGGTGGGCGGATGAGAGGGCGGTGGCGAACGAGGGATTGAAGAAAGTGAGGAGGCTAGACAGGAGCCGTTTATTGAGTGGCTTGCGAATGCCGATAGTGAGGAGATGAGGAGGAGGAAGAGGAAGAGATTGAGCAGAATCTTCTCTGAGAAGCTTCTTTTCGCGCCTTCGGGGCGATATGGGGTGGGTATACATGCGAAAACGATCGTATTGAAGGTCAATGAGTGATTATAAATTATTGCACGCTCTGGTGGATTGGAGAATCAGGAATTAGGAATTAGAAAAAATACAAGAGACCATAGTTGATAGTTCATCGAGGAAGCGAAGAACGAACGTATCCACCAGTCGTCGAAGCTTTACACTAAGATCATTAAGGCTCCGCCTAAACCTAGAATCTGCGTTATATGCAGCAGGGTGCATTGACGCCTTTTAAATCACAGCGGGGCAGAAAAATGGTGAATATGTACAGAACAGAATACAGTTGCCTGGTCTCGAGGCATAGGACGTCCAAACCGCATACATAGCATTCCAAATGGGCAGATAGATAAACATCTCCACCCAACAATGAAGCCCACCAAAACCCAATGTATTCTTAACAAGCATCCATTATCCCCTTAACTCTCGGCCAAATGACATCACCGCCATCGTGTACTGTACAATGTACTTGATACAATCAACTCCCTCACCACATATTCAAATGAACTCCCCCCATTGACTTCGTGACCCCTTCAACGGCAGCCACAGTTGCGCCCGCCTTCTTGGACCTAACCCCCCTGGACTTCGGTCTAACCTGCACCAGCGCACCAACCTTGCACCTCCCACACCGACTCTTCTGAACATCAATACTCCTCGAATGTCTTCCATACTCATTCCCACACTCCACGCAACACCACAGATACTTGTAATGGATGACATACGAATGTTTGGTGGTGATGTTTATGCGCGCCTTCGTAGCATTTTCTCCACTGCTGCTACAGCCATAAACAGGGTGCGCAGCCAGCGCCTTCTCACACTTCGCCGCCCACTGCTTGAAGCTGGCGCCGTGCGGGTTATTGCGGACGTTGGAGATCATGAAGTTGGCTAGGTGGCAGTATTCGTGCGCAAGGGTGTTGAGGAGGCGGTCTTCACTGTCTATGATTTTTGAAGCGAGTTCGATGGAAGCGTGGTGGCGCACGGGAGCGAGGATGGAGGGGGTTAGGGGGATCGTACCGGTGTTGTTACTCTTACTGGTGCTGGTGGATATATCAGTGGGCATCTGCTTGCTGCCACTACTCGCCACCGAAGTATTATTTTCATGATAGCCAGAAACAGGCAATAGCAATGACGACGTTGCTTGCTGTTTCAGCTGTGACTGATTCCCAACTTGTTGCTGAGCCGGTAACGGCGATGGTTTCTGCCTGACGGTTTCGCGCTTCCAATTTGCCCTGCCAGCTGTAGTGTTGAGAGTCTTGCTCCAGATAATCTTCACTCCTCCCGCAGCCGCAGCGAGTTTCTGAATCTGCCCGCCAGTCGTGGCATCATCGAGCGTTTTGAAAAACTCTTCCGCCATTTTTACTTTCTTCTCGTCGAACTCTTTCTTTTTAGCTGCAAGGGCCTTCTTCGCAGCTTCAGCTGCAGCTGCTGAAGATTTTTTCGAAGGGGAACCTTTAATTGGACTTTTCGAGGGCGATGACTGTGGTGAGATGGAATTTCTATGTGATCTCCCTGGAACATCATCATTGCCATCTTCTTCGTCATCTGAGTATATGCGGAATCTCTCAAGGCCTCTGCGCAGGGTGTTCGTTTTCCTGGGGGAGTACTGGTCGTTCCATTCGTTGATTATCTCCTGGCTCCAGAAGGCGTCTATGCTTGGTCGATGCGGGGTAGGTGGGATACGAGACTTGCTTTTAGAGGGAGAGTATAGACGATGTTTTGAAGGGCTGGATGGCGGAGTGACGATGCTCACTGTCTGCTCTGGCCCTCCTGACCTGGAAAAGGATGGTGGTTGAGAATCAGGCTGAGGGCTACATATAAAGGATTCTCTTCAATTTCTTGCCGTCAAAAGAAGGAGATAGGATGAGAAAAGAAAGCAGCAACTTACCCTTCCATCTTGTCTTCAGAAGTTTTGTGGTTGACGACCCTATTTCTCTTCGGTGAGCTTCCCCGTTTCGAAGCAGGAATTGATGAAAGAGGTTTCAGATCGAATTTTTTCGGCAACGATGGAATCATCTCCTGCTCATTATCAGTATCGTCATCGCCATCATCGCCATCATCATCACTACTGCCGTCAAACAAAGAGCGTTGAGTTGTCCTGTTGGGTCCCGACTTCAAATTATTCACTGCCAGGCCTGAATTCACGTCACCACCACCACTAGTAGTAGCCTTTGTGTTATTTCCCCCCAACAAGACCTTCGGTGTTGCTATTGCTGTTGTTCTGGTTGTTGGCCTTAAGCCCCTGAACAGTTTCCTGGGTGACGAACGGGGTTTGAGGAGTACTTCTTCCTTCTCTTCACTGCTTCCGCTCAGACCAGACTCATCGAAATAGCTAATATCCTCATCATCCCCGACAATGAAATCATCCAACGAGTCGAATTCGTCGCTTTCCTCCTCCTCCTCTGACGGCGACGACGACGACTCAACACCCCTATTATCCCTCCACCCCTGATTCCCCCTCACCTCCACCTCCACCTCCCCACTACCACCAACCCCAGCAGCACTCTTTCCCTTTTCCCCCTGCCCCTTTCCCCCCTCCACAGACCCAAGCATATCCTCCTCCAACTGCTCTGGCAACGGCGCAATTTCCACATCTCCCAGTCCGCGCTTAGGCGTCGAACCATCATACTTACCAATCACCGTCTCCGCCTGCGTTGGTGCTGAGAACGGCATGAGGAGGACATCAGCGTGCCGACGGCCCAGCTGGCGTTGACGTTGTCTGTGACGGGTGCTGGTTGGAGGTTGTGCTGGGCTGCTAAGGGTTTCAGTGTGCGTTGCAACGACATTCTCCACGGCAGGGGTGGTTTTGTTATTAGAACCTGTGCCTGTGCCTGTGCCTGTGCTTGTATCTGTCTTGGATGTGGGTTTGGTCTTAGTCTTGGTTGGGCTTCGGGGGTCGGCCGGGGCGTTTTGCTGTTTTCCGCTTCTTGCTGCGCCTGCCTTTGCGTTTGCAGAGCTGGTGGTTGTGATGGCTGCCTTCAGGGAGAGAGAGGTTGCCCCACGGCGCGCCCGGGTTCCGCCCAGGACTAGTCTTGGTGAGTGTAGTGGTAGCTGTACACAGACTGAGTGTCTGTATTGGTGTTGACGCGTATCGTCGATGTCGGAATCTTCTCCTTCGGTATCCAGCACGGCCTTAGGCGCGGTGCGGCTGAGTCGCGCCATGTTCTTTCTTTTTTTTTCCTCTTTAAATCTTTCCCGGAAAAGGGGGTATATGCGGAGGGTCAGGGCCAGGGGTCTCTCACTCGAACTTTTTTGATGTGAGTGCGTGCACGTATAGATGTATATATACATATACCGATATATAGATATATATACGCCTCCTCCACCGTCCACACTTATTTAACGATATTTTCCCAAGAAAGCCAAGTCCTCGCACATACTCCTATCCCTCCCTATATATATTGTATATATATATATATATATATACCACGTGCTATTAACATCAAAACCCCATGAACCACCTAAATAGCACAGCCAGCCAAGCAAGTCAGACTCGATCCGGTTTTTTTTTTTCCTCAGGTAAGAAGAAAGATCAACAACAACGATCAACTTTGTGCGCCTGCTTATATTTTTCTCCCAGTGCAGGGTTAGCACGGTGCGCGATTCAGTAAACAATGGGTATATGTTCCCTTGAGGTAGGGCCCTCAATAGGGTAGGGCGGGGCGGGGCGGGGCGAGACGGGGGGGATTCGATCATACACGGACATACACGGACATGCAATCTGCTGCTGCTGCTGCCGCCGTCGTTGTTGTTGTTCGCATCCCTCTCTTCAAGTAAAGAAAGTGGTTTGAGGATTCTTTTTCCAAAACGAGGTTCGGGTTGGTTGGCGGGGCAACGACGGTTTAATTGACTTGTGACATTTACGGTTATTACATGATACGTGGAAAGGAGTGTGGACACACACACACACACACACACACACGCACACTGATCAAAAGAAGAGGAAAATATTATATATGGCCAGTTACAACAAACATCGGTGAGCATTAAAATGGAGAGAAAAGAAAAGGGAAAGAAAAAAAAAAACCAAGAAACAGCGTCTTTGCTATTCCGAAAAGCAAGACAAAGAAAGCTAACCATCACCCAAGTTCCCCAGGCCAACGTAAAAGAAAGAAAGGAGGTAAAAGAGGTAAGACAGACAGAGGAGGCACATGTGCATGTTTTGTTAAAGGTAGGTATGTAATATTTAAGGGGGGAAAGGTTACATCTTCGCCACAATTCTCTTCTATCTAATCAATCCAAAAAAAAAAAAAAAAAAAAAAAAGAACCCAGCCAGCAACCACGGAGTCCAACGCAATACAGTACAGCACAAACAAACACACAGACGCAAAATACAACACACTCTCTTTACAACAACACAATGCCAAACCCAGCCAAAACACCGCAGACAACATACGCACCCACGCTAAGCAATCCCATATTAAACACTGGAATCGTCGTGGCAATGGCGGCGGATGACGTGGTCGAGCTCGGTACGGTGGTGGGTTCAGAGGTGACAGTGCCCTTGCCATCCGTACCGGCTTGCTTCAGCAAATCGGCACAGGTGCCCGTCGGCCTCTTGCTATCCTGCAGCTCCGCAGCACCCTTGAAATCGCAAGCGTCACGGGCCCCATCCTGCTGCAGGAAGTAGCTGTTGAAGGCAAACGAGAGCTGGTCACGTGGATCGCACATGCTATATGCGCCATATACACCATCTTCGGGTTTCGAGGCGATGCCATCGCAGACACCTTTGCCGAGACCGCATACAGTGCCGAAATACTTACCGAGATCCTCATCATCGACCGAGGACTTGGCAACACACGAGAGGGAATTGACCATGCACTGGCAGAGTTGCTTGTTGGGGACAGGTGGAAGGGTGGCGCTAGATTGCCATGCACTGCCGGTGGCGGGACATTTTCGGAGTTGGAGGTTCTCGACTTCGTAATCATTCATGCTGACGCCCTTGGGGTTAACATCACTAATTTGCTTCTTGAGATTATTATAGTCAACACGGGGTTTGACGTTGTCGCCGTCGACATTGACCAGACCTGTGGTTGTTTTGTGACGTTAGATCTGGGATTCTTGGATAAGGAGACCAATGGAATACATGGGATGTTCAAGGCGTACCGTAGTTGTTTTGCTCCTGGAAATACATGTACACGATACCTCCACTGACAACAGGTGTCATCTGAGGGCCGTACAGAGCTTTGACCTCAGTGAATATGCGTGGGCGGACCTCGTTGCAACCATACTCAGCGAAAAAGACTGGGACAGAGTAGGTCGAGAACTCCGCGACAACCTTATCGTAGCCGGACTCCTTGTAGCTAGAGTCACCACACCACGAATAGATGTTGTAACCCCAGAAATCAATAGACTCATCTCTGCTCTTGCAGTTGAAGTAATCAGCCATATCGTCGCGGATGTCAGCATCGTCATTAGTCGCATAACCGACACCCATAGTACGGTAGCCCTTCTTCTTGATGTAGGACTTGGTGTCGCGAACGGCAGCCTTGACGAATGCACTAGCATTGGTGTTGGACTGCTTGTTGGAAACTTCGTTGCCGGCGAAGAAGCCCAAGGTGTTTGACCAAGGCGCAAGCACGTCGACGACGGCCATGTACCTAGCGTAAAGTTCGATGTCCCATTTCGGGTCATCACGGTTGATGGATGTTTTGGGTTCAGACAGGTCAGCGACCACGTAGATGCCAGCATCCTGAAGCATCTGCATGCAATCCTTGTGGTCAGCGTCGGGGTCGATGGCATAGACCCTGATGACGTTCGTCCCCAGCTCTTTCAGGTATGGGATGTCGCGTTTGCAATTATCGGAGTTGGCAAGAGGGTCTTTGTAGTGAGTGTTCTTGCTGGTGGTGCCATTCGAGGAGATATCCTCTTAACATACACATAAAGCGTGAGTTATGGAAAACGCTGGTATCAAGGAGGGATGTTAAGTGTGCACGGTCGGCTTACCTTGGTATGCAACGCCCTTGAAGAAACTGGAACAATTGTTAGTCATATATATTTTAGTCATATATATTTATATATATATATATATATATGTATGTATGTATATACATATCAATATCAACTGGAAGAAGGATGCCAACTCACAATTCGTCGCCGGTACCTTCTACGAAAAATTTGGAGCCCTAAAAAGCAAACATCCGTCCGATTAGAAATTGATTCTAAGGGCATATAGGGAGTCTCAAGAGATAATAGCTCAAGCTGCATTCCTGACCTTGATGACGATGGGGCTCAGATCAGCGAAGGCCGAACCCGCGAGAACAGCGCCCGCGAGGACGGAGGAGAACTTCATGGTGGAATATGAGATCAAGAAGAACAACGACAACGACAACGACAACGACAACGATAACGACAACAATGCCCGAGAGAATCAGTAGTTGTACAATGAAAGAAAGAAGGAAGCCGGACGGAGTTCAAGGTGCGAAGAAGGGTGTGCCACTGTCGGCGAGTGACAGATCGATGTTGATTACAACCGGGTAAAAAAAGGGGGGGATTTGCTTGATCAAGAGAGTGGATAAAGAAGAGCGGAACGAAGAGGAAAGCGCCGTGAAGGAAGGAAGCGAAGGATAATTGAGTGGACACAGGGTCCTAACGAGAGACTGGGGAAAGAATGAGAGAGAAGAAAAGAAGCGGCAGAGAGGAGGAGAAAAGGAGAAGAGAACAACGATGAGGCTTGAGGGAGAAGGAAAGCCAGGCGGAGATGCAGAAGAGGAGGAGATGAAGGGTCAAGCTGAGTCAGCAGCCTGGGCGGTGGTGCTGGCCGCGTACTTGCAGAGCACTCTGTGGACGGCGCCGGGAGCAACGCTGCTGCTGGGCATATACACCGATATTATGATTGACATCCAATTTGAGCGATGCCGGTCCAAGTATTTCTTTTCGTCAAGTGAAAGTGAGTGGTTTCTTTATCTATCCATAACCTCTCTCCCTTGTTTTATTCTTGAGACTTTACTTAGGAACACCCCCCCGGGGACCACCGTCGTACACCTGTAACCGCGCTTGATCCCAGGATCTACAGTGTCAGGTATTAAGTTTGAAATCCCCCTGGCCGCCGAGATTACACTAACCATATAACGTTAATATCTAAATGCTGCTTTTTGCAAAGATCTTTATATTAATATTTTGTATACCATCCTTCTGCCTCTATAACTGCCTTCACTCGATGAGACATTGTAGCAGAAAGATTATATAGAATGCTATCATCAATTACATTTCATGCCTCCTTAGCTGCCTCTATTAAAGCTCTTTTTGTAGCTACTGTATCTGATGCATGCTCCAGCTCTGGATGCAGCTTATAGATCTCCTGCTTCAACAGTGCTCAAAGATTCTCTATAGGATTCAACTCTGGAGAATATGGAGGCCAAGGCATGATCTCTATATTCATCTCCTCAAGAACCTCCTTAACTATGTGAGCTGTATGAACCCTGGCTCCATCATGCATGAATATATCCCTCTCTCTCACAAATTCAGGTAAAAAGGCCCTATACACATCCTTTATCACTCTTGAAGAAAGGGGTAAATAGTATGATAAAAGCAGCATTTCAACATAACTGGGTTTTGGGGTTAGTGATATCTTGGCATCAGTGGTAGGTGGGGGGGGGTTCCATACTTTAATATCTGGACACTGTACTGATTGGCTTTGCCTCATCCATAGCAAAGAATACATAATATTTTAGTTTGACTCCAACCCTTCCAAGCCGAATACAAACCCTTTTTTGAACCAACAACAGCCGCCTGTCAATTGTGAATTGATCTTTTTTGATCCTAAAGGTATCTACGATTATATCTTGAATGGCTCCTTGCCTGGGGATCCCTGGA